TACCCCTGAGGAGCAGTTCAGTGACACTTAGCCCATTTCCTCTGAAACTGCTCTCACAGCACTTCTCTGAACAGTTCATGTGCCGCAATGGGGGCTGTGGAATTTGGGATCAGTGGTGGTGGTGGTGACTTCCTCTCCATTTCTCCAGGTGGCAGGAGGTGCTCCTCAAGTCCGTGCCAGCACGATGGTGTGTGTGAGGACAGCATCCGCGGCTACACCTGCACCTGTGCTGAGGGCTACGAGGGAGAGAACTGTGCTTTCGGTAAGGCACTGCCCCCCTCCCGAGGAGCCCCATCTCCGGCTGTCACAGGGTGTCCTCGTGAAGCCATAGGCAGCTCTCCCATGATGACACTTACCATGGTTTCGGCTAAAGCACACTGCTCTGGGCAGAGCAGGGGTGATGTGTGGTGCTGCCAGCCTACAAAACACTATGGCATCCTGAGGTTCTGCAGGCTGGCCCTGGGCCCTGAGCCTCCCTTCTCCGGGGATGCAGCAAAAGGGCTGAAACCCAACCACCTCATGGGTACCCCCCCAAAGCCAGCCCTGCCACTGCCACCTGCACTGCCTGGCTGCTGCTCCTGCTGTGGTCCCAGGTGTGTGGCCTGAAGGACCAAGGCTGCAGTACCAGCGTGGCTTCCCAGGCACCCTGCTGCCTCCGAGGCCACTCACACCCACAACACAGTCCCTCGGGACAGGACTCCAAAAAACAAACCGTTTCCAGTGGAAGTAAAAGCATAAAGCAAAGCAGATGCTTTCTGGAACAGGAAAATCCTGGGCCAGATATTACATTTTTATATCTGCCAGGTTCTACTTTCCAGCCCTTACATCAGTATTTCTTCTGGTTCAGAGGTCCCCTGGGGTGGGAGACGCCCTGGTTGGAGCAAGGCAGGGTCATTTTCTGTATAAGGGGTGTGACTGTGACCAGCTCCTGGGGGAGCACAGAAGGTGACACAGCTTGGACCAGTGCTGGGAACTAGATCATCTCAGTATGAGCCTTAGGCAGCCATGTTACACAAGATTTTTTGCTGCCTGTGAGCTAGGTCAAATAGCTGTTGCTCTGTGCTAAAGGTTCAAGTGTTTTTTCAGCTACAGAAAGCTGAACATGTTTCTAAGTTAATAGTACCTTTTTTTTTTTCTCATCTTTGGTGGCTGATAATTTAAACAAGTGTGCAAAATGAGAGCTACGGGTTTGTTCTTTCTCAGAAGCAGAAACCTTAGTTACATTCTTCCTCAAGCAATACTTGTCTTTATAACATGTGCAACAGTTCCCCTCACTGCAGATACTTGGTGTTTTGTTTAAAAACCCATGGCATCCTTCCATGGGTTCACATGGAAGACCCAGTTTGACCCATGGCTAATGCTCCCCAGAACTCAGGGGTGCAATGTCTGGTGCAGGGAGGTGCTGGGGGGAAGCACAGTTTGCAATGACTCTGAATACTGCAGAGACTCATCTCTCCAATTTCTGCTTTACAAAGGAAAAAAATCCCAGTGGTAAATACTATCAAGCCAGAGTCCCTACTCACCTCCACACAAAGTGAATAGAAAACAAAACATAGAGGACTCAAGCGATGAAAGAATACTCCATGTTTTTCCTCTGCCTGTTCTGTTTAGCTAAGAATGAATGTCACCACCAAGCAAAGGTGGGATGTGACCACTTCTGCTACCCAGGAAGTGATTCCTACCGCTGTTCCTGTGCTGATGGCTATGAGCTCGGGAAGGATAAAAAACAGTGCATCGCATTAGGTAGGTGTGAGCATGGACGTGCAGGGGGCACCTGCTGAGGCCTGGGGTGATCAGCCTGCTTCGAGCCTAAAGCAGTATTACTGGGTAGAAAAAGGAATCTAGGGACCACCACCCGAGATATCAAAGTAATGGTAAAAGAAGGGCTATTTGATCAGAACATTTAAATATGAATCAGCAGAGAGGACTTGCATCACCCTACGTATCACTCACTGAACCAGGTTTTCCACTCCTGTGTTTGGTAAAGAGTAATTCTGCCAAACACCTTTTTGCTTGGCATGAGATTCAGTTGATTCAGGTGAAAAGTGATCTGATAAATGGAGACATTTGCTGCCACATTAATTAGCTTGAAACAGTAGCCCTTTTTATTTTTTCAGTCTCATATTAGGTATCTCATCCAATTTCATCCCCTTACAAAGTAGGTCTACTATAAACACAGACATATGCTTAGACCTGTGTTTGTATTAGCACAAGTGGGGCAGCCAAACTGGAGTTCAGCTGCAGAGCCATGCTTTTGGTGGTGAAAGACAGATGTCCACACTCAGTGCACACTTCTGGTGGGCTTTACATCCAACTGGCTTAGTTCAGTCCTGCAGACTAAGCACCAGTCAGCTGTGAGAGAATGTCATATGTGCACCTCGAAGGTGTCCTGTGGTTTAGCTTCACCCAAACAGAATCCAGTGTGTGCGACCCAAAGCAAGTGGAAGTGTGACAAATGCAGATAACCAGGTGATCCAAACAAAAAGCACGTGTGTTGTTTGAACCAGATGAGAAAGGCACACACATTCCTAGAGTGACAGCTGTAACAAGGAAAACACAGGATTTACCTGGGCCAGACTGGGCCACAGTTATCAGGTATTTGACACAATTTGAATAGAGGATACAAAGATGAAAAAGCAAGCTGTGCTAATGGATGGCTGGAGAGGAAGCCTCATTTCATTAGTGACAGGCACAGTGAAACCTGGTCACTAGAAGCCTAACACAATGACCCAGAATGTTCAGCCCATTGCTAACTATTATAACTGCCAAACAAGTGATTCTGATTTTCACCAGCTGAGAAACTGTCATTCTCCTTTTCCTTTATGCAAAACCAGAACCCCAAAGTCTAGGTGGAACAGTAAGGCATTTCCAGGTATTAGCTATCTTGAAATAATACAGCATGTAGTTTTAATTTTTACTTTTTTTTTATTTATTTGTTAGATGGATGTGCATGTGGCAGACTTCAAGACAGTGATAACCTTATAAGTGAAACCAGGAAGAAAAGTGATGAGCGATTTCCTTGGCAGGTATTCCTAGCAATTAATGGAAGCCATTACTTACCCTCACATGGATAGTGCTATCTATTGTCTTTTTGCATTTTCTTAGGTACTGCTGCTAACCTCAGAAGGGAAAGGCTTCTGTGGAGGAGTGCTGCTAAAAAGTAACTTTGTGTTGACACTAGCAGAGTGTGCCCTTCTGCACAGCCATTTTCAAATCAGGATTGGTGCTGGTAGGTAATCCAACACATTTTTTCTTGCTGCAGCACATTTTAGTATTGACAAACCCCATGTTCCCCTTTACAAGGCAAGCAGAGACGAGTGCCTCTTGAGCACTGTTCAGAATTCAGCACCCAGAGATCAGCTAAACATGGTGGATTTCGTCGTGGCTTTAGTTTGATGCCAAAATTCACATCAGTGCTGGCTATATTTATCCTCACTGCTGAAATTATGCGTGCTCCTACCAGCATTAAAAAGCTGCCAGCGTACCATTCCTCGTTTCCCTTTACCGCAGAGGTTTTGAGGAAGAGTCCTTTTAGCTCCTCTGCTGCATGTCTCTTAGCATGACCAGGCAGCTTGCATGCAGCTTTCAGGTCTCTGATAAACATTCCTAAGAGCAGTGAAATGTCATTGCTCCACAGGGCCTAATGGAACAAGTGGAACCGGGAAGATAATGCAAGTCAGTGAGAAGCACATACACATCCGGTATGACGAAGACACTGGTGAGAACAACATTGCATTACTACAACTTCAAGAGCATGCTGAGTGTGACAGCCACCACCTTCCTGTGTGCATCCCTGAGAGAGACTTTGCAGAACATGTTTTAATTCCAAAACTGGCTGGCACAGTCAGTGGCTGGAGAATGGAAGGTGATGAACTTCAAGTCGAAGAGCTGCAGGTTTCCTACCTTCCTGCTGAGGACTGCAAACAAATACTCAACATCAGCCTCACAAACAGGCAGTTCTGCGGGCACCTCCAGGAGGCCGTAGACAAACGCCTGGCTGGAGGAAGCTTCTTGGTTACTGAGTACAAGGGCACATGGTTTCTGACTGGTATCCTGGGATCCTGGCCACTAGAAGACACTGACTGGGAAACACTGCTTTTCACCAACACTGCAAGGTATATGGTATGGGTTAAACAAAAAATAAAGTAAGACACAAACAACGAACTCTCTAGCACCAAGCCCCTATCAATCATTGCAAGGAGACATAATGGATGCAGCCAGTACCCCCATTTGACTACTACTATTTGCAGCAATGGAAGTTGCAACAATGACATGTATCTAACTCCAGTTTATACAAAAAGCCTGTTTGTCTTCCCTTCTGCTACTGTGAAAGTCATGATACAGTAAACCGAGTTATTGAACTAAAAACTGATTTAACTTTAAATTTCCTAGAACTGTTCATCCTAAACCTCAAAACATGTTGAGTATTTTTCTGTGATTTTAAATGCTGCTAGTACCCTGAGGTTTGATTCGGCAAATTCATATTCTTGTTTCAGGATCCATACAAGTAAAACTTACAAAGACATGAGGAATGTCAAGCTTTTAAATGTCTGTGTAGGACTTGGCATTTTTATCACTCTAAAAAATGTTTCCCCTCATACATGGAATCTATGTTTTCCTTTATGAATGATGCCCATGTCAGTTAAAGAGTAAAATAAAACCCAACTGTCAAAGAGAGGGGGAAAAAAAATAGTATTTATTTTAAAAGTAGTTTCAAAACCCCAAAACTACGATCTTATCAATCTGGATGAAGTTATATTGTACCACCCCCAAACAAACAAACCAGCCCCCAGGGTAGTAACATTTAAAATACTGGATCCAGTGGTAGTGTTTTCCCCAGAAGCAAAGTAAAACAGAGTATGGATAATTTAGCTACATGAGTTCATCATATGTTCATCATAAAAAAAATTAAACAAAATATTACCAGAATTTTAAAAAATCCCAAAGCCATCAATGGGCACTTAGCACATTTACTCAACAGCATAACTGACACAGTAAAGTTTTTGGTGTCAAACACTTCTCTACTTTTTAGAGACAGTTTGAAGAGAATATTTAATACCAGCAAAATTATTGAGACTTAAAAAGAACTGGAAACCATGTAAGAAAACATTACTTCCACTCTGAAGAATGGGTTAACACAAGTAACAAAGGCTGATACTTCTCTCTGAAGAATAAACACAGAAATAGTAACATGAAGTACTTTATAAAAGCTTTTAAGTAGTTCAGAAGGAATTTGGAATGCTTTGCTTTATGAAATACTCTGAATGATCTAGAAAGCCTGTGGAAATGACCATTTAAAAGTCAGCACTTCATTTCAATGCACTTTGTAACACTGGCAGCCTTGGCCATTCTGGGAAAGAAGCCACAAACAGTTCCTGATATTTCAGTCCTGGACAAGAACCAGGCCATTTACAGTGTTCTTGGGGTCACTGGGAGCAGTTCCACTGGGCAAGCCGAGCATCTGAAGAGTACTTGCATGGCTAAGATGCAATACTCAACAACACACTGTTGACAGTGGAGGAAATGGGTTCTGCTTGCTGACCACAAGCTTCTGATGCTGATGGGATATGTAGCCTTTAATGTGACCCTGGCAGAAGGAAAAAAAGGCAGTGTTAGTACTTAGAGCTGGTAAAACAATCCCTACAACCCAAGCAAACACCTACAAACTAACCACAGCAAAGCTGTGTGTGCTCACTCACTACTGCCCTACTGTACTTAAATATCCATGAGGGTCCAGTTTATGTAAGTGGGTCACCTTGGAGAGTAAGCAGAAAGTTGGAGCCACCACCCTGTTTGTGTACTAAGGGTGCTGTTAGACTGAGAGCCTCTTGCCAGGGCCCCCTACGGGTCTGCTTACACTGCCTCGAAGGGACAGAGCTCTACAGAAGTGTTTCTAGATTCACTCTTGTTCACTTTAAAATGAGGATTTTAACCAATTAGTATTCCATACCTAATAAAGTAAATGATATAGTACTTCCTTTTCAGACAGTGCTGTAACAGTGAAAGAAATCTCCTAGTTACCTAGACCACATCAAATGTTTCAGAAACAGAAAAGTGGTTAATTTTCTTGCTGACACTACAATGATGCTTCAAAACCTCAGATTGAATATAAATATTTAGATTTCATTTAGAGTAAGAGACAAAATGTGGAACAGAACCAAAGAAATCTGGCTCTATTGTTTTCTAATTTGAGAAGACCAAGAGTCTCCTACTTCAAATACTGAACAAATCTTTTTGGTGCCACTTGAGAGGTTTGTATTTTTAAATCAATATTTCTGCATATATAGAAATGTCAGTATTGAATTTGTAATGTGAAATTCAACTTCAGTTTTAACTGATTCCTGCAAAAAAAGGCAGGAACAAGAAGAAGTCTTCAGGGCAAAAGAAAACATTTCACTTTGAGCACAAGTCCCAAAAAAAAACCACAAGAAAACTTGGGATTACTGATGTGCTTTTTGTCACAAACTGTTATTCTCCATCTAATATTTTTTCACTTTTGGAAGTCTGGAAGTACCAGAAAATGAGTGGCCAGCACTTACCAAATATATAAGGTTAGCTAAAATACACTGGACTTCATCAATATCAACATCATCTACTTGCATAAACTTCAGAGCAATCAGAAAAGCATCTAGAGAGAGCTGATGAGTTTTGAGTAGTAAATATCTGAAAGAAACAACACAAAAATGTGTTTTTGAGAAATAATCACTTAAAAATGCTGTTTCTTAGAAAAATGGCCTTTCTACAATAAATTCACCTTAACAGGAAGTCAGCTCCCTCAGAGAAAACTAAGGAGCATATACAATTCTACCCCAGTCCCAGGTGAAGCCGTATTAAATCTGCTTTTGCAAAAATGTAGGTTTTGTTATGCTTACACTTTCTTGAAGAGATTCCTGTATGTGATGATTTTCAGCTTCTCAAGGATAAGAAAGATTCCACATCGAATAAAAAAGGTCTCATGCTTTGTCAGAGCATCATTCAGTAGAAGAAGATTTCCTTCACTGCAAGGATAAAAAAATGAAAAAGTGAGAAGGTCTCACCCCTATGAGAAAAGAAACTATGACTTGGTAGGAACATAACCTCCCCTGCCTTCCTCAATCACCCCAAAGAAACACTTTTTACTTAATACTTCTGAACACAAAGCAGAAAAACAAGCATCATACCTCACAGACTTTGTTACTTCAGCAAACTGCATAAGGTCATACTTTTTTAAGAGCTGAACTGTTGGCATATGGCCCTGAAAAATAAATGGTGTCCAAGTTTTCCAGGGTAAAGTCAAATGAGTTTTAAATAGAATCTAGTAAGCTATAAAAAAAACCCACTTGAAAAGAGAGAAAAGAGGAATGTTTAACCACTTTTTTTTTGGCTACAGAGTAAGAAGTGAACAGAAGTATTTGTAAGACAACCCTCTTCTCCCTCTCAAACACCTCATAGCACAACTCACAACAACTACTGATTTATCATGATTTAGGGACAATTAATGTTAGGGAACAACTACTGAACTTGTAGAATCAAGATTCTGTGACATGAGGCCTTGGCAGATTCAAATTTTATGTCACAACTGTATCATCTAATCTACAAACAGAAGAACTGCAGGAATCCCAAGGGAATACGAGCAATGCTTCAGCCTTGTTAAGCGCTATCTCAGTCTGTAACAGGCTTTTTCCTCCTCTATGGCTCCATGCAGAAATAAAAATGTTCTCACAAAAAAACAAACACCACCACCATACCCTCCCAAAAAAAAAAGGCAGAGAAAGGTTAAATTTAAAGAAACAAAATTAATTATTATTGCTAAATCAGGTAAGACAACCATCTACAGAATCAAAAGGAAGCTTTGTCTTTTATCCCCTGCATGGCACAGAGCAGAGTGCACACTGACTTGGTCAGACTTTAAATTTAGTTACATCATGCTATGCTGTTGCTAACTCCTTTCCTGGATGAAGGATTAGCTGAGAGCAGAACTGAGCTGCAGGTTTACTGAGAGCTGTTAGGAACAAAAAATCCAACACACAATGTTTGGGCTCTGATTTAAAAAAAGCAACTGTAAATACAATGACCTTTATCTAGTTTCTTTGATGCCTCTTACACACTAAAACTGCTTTAAAAAAGCATAGTAATTCTAGGCACTAAGAGACCGACCAGTTTAAGGCACCCAGTCAGGACTGGGACAAAGCTTTTAGGAAAACTGTTAATAAGTTTTCCTTTATCAACCTGACCAGTGACTGATCTGAAAACAACCACTAAGAAATTCAACAAAAAACACAAGGAAAACAGAAGCCAGTTACCATACCCACTATACTTCCCCTTTACCCACTTGACACAGCAAGGGACTGAAAGGCAGCACTGAACGGAAAAGGCAGAAAGGTCACAAACAGGTCAGGGGAAGGCGGAAAATGGCAACTCAATGAAGGCAGGTGATAACATTTTCCATAGGTAACTTTGGTAAAAGGGCCAGAAAAGTAAACTCTAAACTAATTCCTGTCCCCTCAGTTACAATGAATTAATACTCATCATAATCCACTAATTCAGGAATACACAAACGTTAGCACAGCACATGGGAAAGGACAGGAGCAAGAAACAGATGTGCTTAATTCTTTTAATAGAAATATGAAATGATCAAATAGTAAGTCTTCACTGATTTTTCGGAACCAAATGCTGTGACTCATGACCCTTCCAACATGCCTCAAATGGGAAAATGTACAAGTACAGATAAAAAAGCCAAAGACGGGCTGTAGCTGTGGCAAACCCTTCTCAACAGTCCTCAACCATCTGTTTGCACACCCTTCTTTCTTCCACCAGGTGAAAGAAGCAAACAAATTTGTTCTAGTGAATCCACACCTTCCCTGGCTTTTGTGTGAAGTTGATCAGCAGAGAGGCACTCTGCCACAAGACAGAAGTTACACTGTTGAGTGCTTCTCCAAAGAATTCAAATACACTTTTATTAAAGTAATAAGATGAGTGTGCACCCTTAGAAGGGGTAGGAGAAAGATAGGGGGAAAGGAGGCCTGGGTTGGTTTTGTTTGGGGGTGGGGTTTTCTTCTTTGGCTGTGTTATTTCCCCCCCACCTCCTTTCCTGTGTTGCTATAAATGACAACACTTTTTGCCCTCACATAACAAGGTGTGCATACGCTGCCTCTTACAGGGGTAAAACAGCCTCTGAATTCCACTAGGGGAAAACCAAGAAAATACTGACCATCAGTTTTATAATCTGCATGTGTACCCCCATCCCCTTATTTAGGAAAGTAGTATCTACTCACCAACAACATTTTTACTGGCAGCAAGTAGATCAAAATCATTCTTTTGTTCTTCTGGCTTGATCGGTGACAGTGCTCAAAGGCAAATGACAGATACTCTTCAGCTGCAAACACAAGTAACATGAATCAACCACAAAAATGGATTAAAGCTGTAACCCAAATTCTGTGTTCAATGCCCATCTCTAACTTGAACACATAATATTTGAAATTGTATATAAAAGAATCACACCACTTAAAATACATAAAGAAAAACTGGAGATTCACACAAAATATGAAGTATTACCAGAAAGGTAGGTTCTCCTTCAGAAAGTCAAAGAAAAGTTGCCAAGACCTTGATGTCAAACATTACAGCTATAAGTAATACAGGAATTTTAGTCTCATTTCAGTAGTATTATTGTGCTCCTATTACAGAAGCAGAGAATCTCAAGAAGCACTAATACACTCCATTTCCTAAATTCAGGTTAGGTTCTTCAAGAGATGAAAGCTGAATGCAATGCACACATGTCCTGAGCTGCAGAAACATGCCAGTGAGACCACACAGCACAAGAGCATGAAAATCTCTCAGCAGCTTCCACTGATAGAGAAAAAATGATAAGCCTGACAGACAGAACAGACTGTTTGGAGTAAGAGAACCAGCTCCAGAACAGATGTCAGTCAGGGGCTTCAGTTAGTGATGAAGCCAAACACCTTAGCTCTGGAAGCATTTCTGCTAGTGAAATCTATTAGAAATCTAGGAAATGTAGTTTGTACATCTTCCAAAATCAATGGATCAAGAAACTAATTCTACACTACAGTTTGCTGAAGATTTCCTACATGGCACACAGCAACTTGAAGATTCGAAGGCTCCTCTGTTAAACTTTTACAAACCTATTCTTTTGGATGCTCACACGTTTTGTAATGCACACACATTATGCGTAAGACTGCAAGAAACTTCACTGACACATATATTTTAAAGCTGGGCATATGCTACAATTAGAAGTGTCATGTAATCTCATCTCTTTCAAGTCAGCCTGTGAGCCTCGGACCTTTCAGCATGACTTTTCCTTTGATCAATGCAATTTTGAGTCACACACACACACAACTTCAGCAAGATTTCATGCCAAGTAGCAAACATGTCTTACTGGCACACATTACCTTGCTTAAAGTCACTGTCAAACATGGCCTTGCGTCCAACATAGTATTTGTATGTAACTCTCTGTGCCATACTATACTCATCCTTCAGATTTGAGCTGTCAATTGCTCTAATTAAGGGCTTACAGAGATGGAGCTTGTTGATCTGTTAAAAAAAATACCATTTAATCAGAGTGTAGATAGATGGTATATAAAAACAGGGTGGGTTTGACTTAGAGTATGAAATACAGAACACAGCTTACCAGATTTGAACCCTACCTTAAAATAAATTTTAAACAGCTGATTCACAAGAAACAACATGCCCCACTTTTTTGAGTCTTCGATGCCTGCTCGACTGTCATAAGGAAAAAGAAAAAAACCTGCTAGTACTGAACATTGTAAAAAAGTAATAACTTTGTCCTCACAGTAAATTCATTCCATAGATATCCTCTCCACATCATTTTTAGGGTAAACACAGGTGTAGCTCTGCTATACATTTTCTCAACATAATGGAAAGATTTCATGCATAATAATATTCACCTGCATCAGGGTCCTCACTCCAGTCTGCAGATAACATACACAAGCACAGCAGTGGCTTATAATACATGAGGTGAAAGAAAGACCCGGAAAAAAAACATTTTTTCCACTTCAGAAGTGTTAAAATTGCTAACACTAGAAACCAGAGTCACCTCTTTTCCATCTAATTAATTCTGATGGAGCAAACTTCACAACTAACAGGGCACAGAAGCATTAATCATCTTTCCTGAGAGACAGAGACATAATCAGTCCCTCCCAACAATACCTGCTGGGAATGCTACACCTGAAGTGAGGGCTCTCCCTCTGTAGTTAATAGTCAAGAGAGAACAGCCTATAAACAAAAGGAGACAAGCCTCAGAAGTGTTCATTCTAAGACCCATATATGGTCTAAATAAGTGGGAAAATCTAAAGCAAAGTTCATTAAGGTCTTAGTAATCTACTAGCGAAAGTTCAACAGAGGGTCTTTCACTTACGTGTCACTGGCACAGACTCGGAAGCAGCCCATCAGCAGCTCTGCTGCTTTTTCCAACATGTCACCAACTTTGCTTTTCCCTTTCTTCACAAGCTGTTGATCTGCCTAGCATTACACAGCAAGAAACAATAAGCAATTGTACATCATGGTTCACTGGCTGCAAAGTTTAATTCTTTAATACAGCATTTTATGAAGTATTATAGAAAGAGATCTCTCATGGCTGCTATCTCCCAAATCTAGAAGACAGTCAAGCTCACAGAACAAAAGAAAATACTCAGAGAGGCTCCTGGACATGTACCGAGTCCAATGTAGAGAAGGACAATCCTTGGAAAATAGCACTGATCACTATTACCTTTAGCATCACTCAGCCTAATGCATGTCTCAGAAACCTAAATTCAGGTTTAACACCTGAATTGGAGCATTAACACTTCAACTCAAGTGTATGAAGACCAAGAGCCTGGAAAAAATTATGGAGTTTGAGTCTTAGAATTTATAATTCAGTTTCTCTCCACAGCCACAAAGACTAGATTTTATTTCTAAACCATATCCAACAGTTTCCAGTAGCAACACACACTGCTGGGACCTGAGACTTCCAGAAGACAGATAAAACATACATGACTGCAGCAAGAGGAAAAAACAAAAAGTTCAGCTATCAACATATGGGAAAGATCCACACACTGACTAATGCAGAACTTCAACAGAAAAAACATAGCAAGCAGGTATTTATTACATGCTTTCCATAAAGTTTTATTACAGCGTTTGCATTCTCACTAGCTGAAACATAAATAAAATAAATGGAAATGCATCCTGCTGCAGAAGTCTTCTCTGAAACCAAATCCTCTGAATACATTAAGGTTAGAAGACAGAGTTCAAACACTTCCAGCATGACTGATTCAACACTTCCTTACACATCTCAGAGACAGGGATTTTGCTCATTCAAACTGAGAACTGAGACTTGCTGCAGAGCAATCACACACATGAAAAATACTCCCTATGCAAGCATTCCACATGTGTGGTTTTGTGGGTAAGTGGGCACAAGAGAGTGATGAGAGGATGAACACTGAAAATACTGGATATTGTCAAACCCTAACCTAACTTGAACTCTAGCTTCAGCTCTTCAGGTAAAGTGACTAGGAACAAAATCACAAATCTGCCACTTACCTCAGCCTAGAAGTTCTCAAACAGATCCCTACACAAGCTACTTCAATTCACCAGACTGGGAAAAATAATGTAAATTTGGGCATTATTTGCACGTCAGCATTTGTATGGGTCCACCAAGGGCTCCAAAGAGCATCAGAAGTGGTGCACACGTCTGGAAAAGGGGAGCAGAAAGTTCCCCCTTCAGATCTGGTGAATGGTTAGATCAGCCTCGTTGTCTGTGATAACTCCAATTTCCACCAAAACCCAGAGATAATATGAAAATAGTGACTTATACCATGTGCTACTCAATAAAGAAAATATTTATCCCTTCATAAGTTCTAAGCAACTGCTGGGAGTTGCATTCAGATCCTCAGAACCCCTCTAGTTCCATCTGCAAATAGGAGGTGGACAGACTGAGCAACCTCATTTCTCAATAGGACTGGATGAATTTAGTGTGTCAACAAAACTATAAACAATGAGTTAAAGAGAACTGAGCAAAATTAGACTGTGTAATAAACTCTATAAAAATATTTTTACTGTGGAAATACCAAACAGATAAAAGTAATGAGGTTGTTAATCAGATGTACTTACATTGTTAGCAAAAATTCGAAGATCAAGGGCTACAGAATACATAATAGGTAAGGCCCTGGGAAAAAAAAAAAATCATAGTATACTTAGAAGATGCAAATCAAGCAATAAGTATGACATGAGAAACAAGCATTTTTTTTTTGTTAGTTGGTTATACAATTTAAAAACTTAAAAAGTTGGTCATATATTCAATCTTTAAATGAAGAAGGATGCACTTCTTAAAAGGACAGTTCTTCAAGATCTCAGGATTTCAGAAATCCTACACTACAATAATTATTTCTAATGTCTTTTTTACTGTGGCTTTAACAAAATTCCACTTCTCTTTGAACAAATCCTTCATATATATACATATGGACCATTCCACATAATTAAGCTCAAATGTTTAGTTTTCACACTTTGGACATGAAAACTCCACCAAGCAACAAAGCCAATTAGGCTTGAATTTTAGCATCACTGGGGATAAATAAAACTATAAGTATAATTTTAGTTTGACTACAATGGTATTATACTATAAAAAGACGAGTCTATTTTCTAGTAGCTTTCTACCATGCACTCACCAATTTTCTTCTTTATGTGCCTGAAACGCTCGCAGGAAAGATGTATTATATTGAGGGAAATTTAAAATGCCATGAAATGAAGCACAGATTTGAGAAACAGCTGTTCAGTGGTACAGCTTTCTTTCATGAAAAACTAAAAATCAAAACACCATCAAGAAGCTGAGGAGCCGAGTTGCAGTATGGAAGAACATGAGCATAGCCATGCACTCCTTTGAGTGGCAGCAGCAGTAAGAAACACTGGCCAGAGATAAGAGAGAAGCTTCTTTATCATTATCTTCCCCTCTAGCCAAGTACAAACTGCAAGGTATTATAATGATTTGAGACTCTCCTATATTCTAGAAATTAATATTCTATTTTAGACCCAAGTAGAAAATTCCTTCTTAGCCCTTTAGAAAGCTGGAAGAATGTATGTGCTTGGAAACATAAACAACTGAAGTGTATTGGGAAGCAGACCGCATTCTAATAGATTTTTAAAAATCATACTTATTCAACAAAAGGTTAATCTGAAAGCAATATGCAAGATTTATGGAAAAGGATATTGGACAATAACTGTTTGGCATTTGTATGCTTCTACGAAGTCGTGGTTTGCAACAGCGTAAGTACACCTGCCAAAGAAAAGGTGCATTAGTGCATCAGAAAATATACATAAATGACATATTTATTTTTGTGTCCTACCAGGCATGAAGTTTTACAGTTTATTTAAGGCACAAAGAAATAGAAGTATTCCTTAAAATTGGCACAAGTATTTTAATAGAGCAGTAAGTTTGATAATTGTAGAAAACAAATCCTAGAGATGAATAGGTATTTGTTTTATATAAGCTAACACTTATTGAAACTGTCACCAAGATTAGATTTTAAAAATGCATAACTGTTGAAAGAGACTAGATGCAGAAAATTATTAAGTAAAAGCCTCACAGAATTAGATACTAAGCTCTCTTAAGTGTACTTTTATGATTAAAATTCCCTTTTAAAATTTTTTATTTCCATTACTTATTTCACTCTAAATTCTGGTGCAGCTAGTAGGCAAAACAAGGTAAACAGCAAGCACTGACACCAAAGCTGTGTCAATGGCCACACACAGATGACATCCAGGTACATAGAGCAAACTTTATGCGGAGAGGAGAAAGGAAGTCTTTATTTCCTGCAATTCTAGCATTATTTATAAAAGTAATAAATACCAAGTTTTCAGGTGTAAGCCCTTTAAAACAGGCAAGTAAGCTTAAGGATATCCTTCCCCATCCCTGCTGTACACCTCACAAATTACTTTACATTACAGGTCTATCTTTACCTTAGGTGGGCTGCAAACATTTCATCATATGGAGATTCCAAAACTTGTTGACACTTCTCCTCTGGAGATGGAAGCTAAGTGTAGAATAAATCAATAAAACATTAAAGGAACATCCAATGCACCAGAAACATCATGTGCATATTTTGTCATGGCAGTTCTCACAGAATTGCTGGGGTTGGAAGGGACCTCTGGAGATATCTAGTATGCATCTACCAGAACTTTAAATTACACTAACAATCATATCCAGAGAAATTAATTGCTAGTGTGCATTCTGTCTCCAGAACGTGAACAGAGCTAGCCCTAAGTAAAAGCATCAAAACACACAAACACCAGGTCCCTACTACCCACTGCTTTTTCCTCTGTAGCACCTTCCACTGTGCTATGCTAATAACCAATGCAGACCTGGTCAGACAGGATATTCAAAACCGTATCTATCCAGAAGACAATTCAGAGTGGACCACAAAGAGCCAACTGGAAAACAAAACTTTTACATAGTATCCTTGTAAGAAAAGGGAAGCAAATCTACAAGGGGATCCTATCTCAGCCTGTGAAACAGATTTCTGAGGTTTCTCTCCCATGGAAAGGAACCCACATATAGAGCTAGGAAAACTGAAAGTACTGAAAGTACTGAAAGGTCAAAAAACAGATCCTCACCTGCAGCCTTGGGTTTGCAACATGTGGATGTTTAAATGACACTAATTCTGCACAAAACGTACCATCTCTGGTCTCAATGGCTTCTTGTACCTACCAAAGTAAACAATCACATAGCAGAATAAAATCCAGCAACAGGCACACAACATATTTACACAACTACAGAAGCCACCACCTAGTCACCACTGCTCGTACATAGTAATATCAAACCAAATGTGAGTTTTTAAAGGCTTAAAAATGAATAAATATTTTTTTATTTCCAATACACCTGTTGCTCAAAAAGGTCTCAGGGAGAAGGTAGAGAGAACATCATTGTGTATTTTTCCTTATTTGTAGGATGCAAGCGTACCCTGTACATGGGTTTAGCATTGTAAAACAGCAGTTGAGAGCCAGATTTGGTTATGCTTTTTAAAATTCCAGTTGGACTTACAGGCATCAAACACAGATGCAAAGGCGTGATCTTTAAGAAATGCTTTAAAATGACAACAGGCAGATTTAACATGTAGATATCATTCCAAAGGCAATGCCTGATATTAGACTGATATTTTATCTATATCAAATGCTTTTGAAACCTGCTAAGACTGAAAATGTTATATTATGTAGAAGAATGGTTTAATTCTGCTTCCTGCTAAAGATGCTCCTTGTAAAAAATAGTCTGCTTGGACAGGTTATTGTGACATCAAGATGGAAATTTCTTCAGTTAAGGAAGTAGCTTTAGGCATTACTTCTCAAGAGCTCCCTTCCCACTGCTTGTGCTTTGTCGTATTTTTGTGTCCCAATGTGAAACAAAATATTTTTTTGATGTATGGAAAGCTCATACCAAATGGGAAAAAATCTCATAGACTAAAATAGCAACAAAAGAGGGAAAATCAACTGTTTAAACTCTTTCAGAAATTTGTGTTTAGCTTTTATTTAAGGAAAAAGAAGAGATAATTTTATGTTTGCTGGACAGTTTTCCATATTGAATGTTCTTCAATGAAGTGCCAACCGAAAATTGTGGACTTCTCAGAGCAGACCACTGTCCTGGGAGATCTCAGATGCTCCATTTCTGGAGAATAAAACCCAAACAATTATTTTTTTTGTGCCTTAACGAATTGCAGATGAAGATAGACGGCAACAGTGATGAGAATACGATAGTCCAGCAAGAACCATGCAGAATGGATACACAAAAAGCTTGTCACTGACAGCTCCGTCCAGCTGGAATCCCTGCGGCTCTGCTACCTCTCCATCCTGCATTTCAGCAGTGTGTCCGCACTTCTGTGCGCCTCAGATCCCTGCATCCCTCCAATCCCTGAGCTGCACTTGCTCCTGGACACACACACAACCCTCCGTGGCGGTTCTTAAAAACAAATTACCTCAGAAACCTCCACGCTTTGCAGCCATTCCAGGTGTACATGCTTGGCACTCACACGGCGTGTGCTTCAGGCACACTGAAGAAATAGATTTCCCCACCACATCACTCATCCTACGTTGATTTATTCTTAGCCAAGGCAGCATATTTACAACGAACAGGAACGCTCGCGCATACTCAAACAGGGCCCACAGACCAATTGTAAAAAATCAATAAAAAATCTTGCTTACTTGCTGCAAGTACTGATTTATGGTGATGTGCGCCATGAAGGGGTAAGGGGATGAGGCGGGATCCCCACACCCTTGGCACCCTCCGAGCCCCGGAACTCCCGGAACTCCCTCCGCGTTTCCGGATCCCGGCACGTCCGAGGGGGGGGCGGGGACAGCCCGAGAGTCACGTGACGGCCCCCGGCGGCCGCTGCCCCGCCTACCGCGGGTTCGGGGCGTGGCTTCACTCGGACAGCCAATAGGGATGAGCGGTGGGCGGGGCAGAGGGCGCGCGTCAGCGGTGAGCCGCGTGCGCTGGGACGCGCCGCGCGTCCCTGGCTGGCGGTGCGTTGACTCCTGTCGCTGTTCCAATTGTTGCTGTCACCCCTGCTGCCCCTTGTACCCTTGGCTTGTGCAGGAGGCAGATGGTGGCTTCCACGTGGCAGGACCCCAGTACCGGGATAGCCCAGTTAATTCCCCGGGAGAGCGATGGAGACTCCCCTCCCTCCTCGCTAACTTGCGCTGCGCGCGGGGAGCGCTGGAGAGGGGGGTCTCGGTGAACTTGGGTCGAAAAAGTTGACTCGAGCTCATAAACTCCCGAGCAGGCTGACTCCTAAAGGCACTGCCGCCAGGGAAATGTGTGAGACAAGGATGCGCTCCGTGCTCCTGCAGGCTGGGCTCGGTTGGGTTTGGGGTGTGCCGGTGAGCACGGCGCGGGCGGCCTCTCGGGCTGGTTGTGGGCGGGAAGCGCGGCTGCTCCTTAGCTTTCGTTCCGGCCGCCCTTCGGCGGGTACCAGCAAAGAGAGCCAGGGCAGGCGGGGGACACCGAGGGGCTGCTGCCACCCGCGGGAGGCTGCCCCGGCCCGGGAGCCATCTTGTGAGCGGGGCTGGCGCTGCCCGAGCGCCGCGGGCCGCCCGGGCTCCGGAGCTGACTCGAACCCGGAGCCGGCACCCGAGGCGGCGGGCGGAGGCGGGCGGGCGGCTATCGGAGCCTCCCGCCCCGGCGGCACTTGGCAGCCGCCCGCGGGCAGTGGGGGAGGGCGGCTGGGTGGTGGCGGAGGAGGAGGAGGGGAGCGGAGGCGGGGACCAGCCGGGCCCGGCCCGGCCCAGCCCAGCGCGTTGCCCCGGCCGGACACGGCGCCCGGGGCGGAGATGGCGGACGAGCCGCAGAAGAAGCCGCACTTGTCGGCCTTGGTGGGACACACGAACGGGCTCACCAAGCCCGTCTCGCTGGCCGCCACCGGCACCCGCTCCACGGGAGGAGGAGGCGGAGGCGCGACCGCCTCCTCCAAGAAACTCGTGATCAAGAACTTCAGAGGTGGGTACGGGGCAGGCCGGGCCCTCTGTCCTGGCAGGTGCGCTCGGCCCGATCTTTGTTTACTGCGGCCCGGCCGCTCCCCGCCCCTTGCCCGCGGCCGGGCCCCGCCGCCGTATCGGGGCGAGGGGCGGCTGCCGCGGGGCTGATAACGCTGCCGGCACCGTGCCCGTGTAAGGGCTCCCGGGGACACGCGTGGGGCTCCGTGCGCGGGGGCAGCGGCCGTAGGGAGCGGGCAGAAAGCCACCTTGGTGTCACCGCTGATTAAAGCCAGGCGACGATGGTTGCCTCGCTAAAAGTAACACGGGCGTCAAACAGCGCAGCCGGGGGGTGAAGCGCGTCGTGCAAAGGCTCGGGTGGAATTAGTGACCCCTCTGAGTGTGCCAGAGTTACATGGCCGAGAGCAGAGTGGCTTGGCAGAACTTGATGGAGCAGCAGGGAGAAAGACATTGCTGCAGGTTCCAGTTGGGTGGCCGTTTTAAAACTACCTGTGTCTTACTTCACAGAAAGACCCAAATTACCAGATAATTATACTCAGGACACCTGGCAGAAACTTCACGAAGCGGTGGGAGCAATACAGAGTAGCATTTCTATTAAATACAACCTTGAAGAACTCTACCAGGTAAGCAACATAAGGTTTTGGTTTCGTTTTTAGCGAATAAACTGCTTTGGCACACATTCAACATAATGTATTTTGATTTGTTAAAAGCTGATTGAATACTTCGCTACATACTCTGTTTCTAGTCAGTTTCTGTGTATCAGTTCCTTGGAGAGCTACCGGGATCTGGGCCCATGAAAAAGCAATTTATGTTGGGAGGCATAGAACGCTCTTCCTGGGCAGGGTGAGAGCTAAGTCTTAGGATCTTCAATACTTAGCCCACTCAACATGCTGAAAACAGGATGTTATTCTAACAGGGTTATGAAGATATATATTTTATTATGATCTTTGTACATGCTATGGTCTCTTGTAAATAGTAATGTTGAAATGTTTGATATTATTAGATTATAATATTACACTTCTATACCTTTTGGGGAATTAAAAAGGAATCCTGATTGAGCAGGCAACAAGCTGTCACTTTACCCACATTTCAGGTTACTATTGCATTTTCAGAACAATCAGGATCTTAGGTTTTTCTGTTCAAGTGGTGAAAAAACATTCCTGGAACACTGGGACTATTGGGGCAGAGGCTAGGGAGGGTAAAAGAGCGGTGGACTCCCAAGCCATTTCTCTCTGTTTTCTCCAATTATATGTGGTTTAGGTCTATGTTATTTTAGATGTATGTATCTTGAGGTATTTAACTGAAGTAGTAGCTTTTTAGAGTGATCATGTTATAAAAAATTACTGATGCACTGAATTGTGCTGCATAGCATAAGTTAGTTATGAGTTTTCTGTGGGTTGAGGTGTTTGATGTGCAGATTGATGTCCTTGCCATCAATCAACAGGACTGGCCCGTTTGGAAAACACTATTATACACACCTAAAATTTTCTAAATGTTTAGTTGAGGTGCAAAGGGGAGACTGTGAGAAAGGAGAAGGCCAGTAGTATGTACTGTGTCCCTGTTCAAGAAAATCAGGATGGATTTCAGAACTGACTATACTTGTCTCTTTAGTTAGGGTATGTAATATATGGGTCTAAAATGGCTGGTTATGTAAATGTATATTGACTTAATATAATTATTCTCTTAAATAGAAAACTTGACTGTAGTATATTTATCTAGTAATAGTTGCAGGTTTGCAGAGCTTGAATGACATAATGCATTTTATTGTTTCAAATTCAGCATTTTAAAAACCCTGCTTTTTCCTGTCTAGCAAAAAAATAAAATAAAATAAAACCAGCCCACAGATGCTATTAGTGTTACCTAATTTGTTTTCAGAGGCTTAGAAATGATATTATAGTCATATGGGTATGAAATCACTAGGGTACATGCTTGAGAAGAAGAGAGAGATTTCAGATAAACTGTGAAGGGTAAACTGTAGTTCTTACTTTTTCTTTTTGCCTGCTTAATTGTAAAAGCTGTGTAAGGCTGGTTGAATAATCTGTAATGCAGCAAAATCAGGAATATTTCTGCACAGTGGGTGGTGGTGCTCAGTGTGCCTGTGCATAGACAGGTACTTACTCTCCTGCCAGAGGAATAAAAGATGAGGTTCAGCATCCATTGGAAACCTGATCTGTATTTACAGATCATTTTAACTGCCTGTTGGTGAGCATCAAGTCATTCACAGGGAAAATATCTCTGGGTGCCATCAGGCCTTTTCGGTGGTTATTTTTTTTTGAGTCTTTATCTGACATTATGGGAGGAAGTGAGAGGCCTGCTAGAGTTCAGTGCACTCAGCGAGCTGGTGTACCAGCCTACAGCTGAATCTTCTGATTTATTTATTTAATTTGGCACGGTGGCTCAGAAGAAACTGAAGAACAATGATGAAGCTGTGTGGGAAGCCTGAAGGATACTCCTTTCCAGGCATTAGAGGCAGCATGGAATCAGGCTTGAAGGTGCTTGGCAGAAATTTAGTCAGTGAGCAATGGGAGGGTGGCAGCCAATTTTTTTGTGACTAAAATAGAAATGATGTCTGGGATTGGTGGTAAATTGCACAGATTGTGATAGAAGTGGCTTATACTTGATGGGATAGAGAAAGTGGGGCAGTACAAAGAATTGCCAAATGAGGAGTGAGTGATAAAAATAATGGAAAAAGAAAATTACCTTTTCAGCAAGGTCCTAAATAATGTGAAGTGGGGCAGCACTGCCCTTCTGGAGGACATAGAACAGGACAGTGTAGTAGCAAAGGAAAGACAGGAGAGAAGTGAAGGAAAAGATAAGAGTCCTGACTTATATTGGGATGGGTAGATAGGAGTGGCTATAACACTATCTGCAAAGTGATTGTCTGAATACTGCTTGTTGCAAGTTATCATTTTACTTACCTTAAGACCAGATGAAAAACATATTGTAGGCACTGTGTTATAATTTTGTTTTCTTGTATGCTTTAATGTATCAAAATTATGGAGGCCATTTTTATGTGCATTTAAATAAATTTAGATTAGGTAGGTTAGAATCCTCTGGAGCAGAGGAAAACATTCTTGGGTCAGTTTAGTTGCTCAGGTGACGTAGTGCTTTAAATCCTTGGCAGTGTTCTGTGTAGTATTGCCTGATAGTATAAGGGCAGTTGATATTAATATAGCAACCACTAGAACATTTGGTTTTGGGCAGAATTGGCCTCCTTAGTTAACTAAGGATAAATACTCAACTAAATCCTATGAGCTCCCAATAAATCAGTTCAAGTCTTTATGTAATGATTAATGTGGGAGTTTTTTTGAGGGTTATGTTATAGTATGGGATTTTTCTTAATTTTTTTTTCCCCCTCAGTTTATCTACCTTAGCATGAGTGTGTGAATCAGTGGAAATACTTGGGAAGAAATGAGTTGATAAAAAGACAGGAAAGTAGCTATACTCATTTACCATTTAGAAAGACTGGTTGAAATGTCTACCTTAAAGTTATGAAGAAATTAAAGTATTGGATATGATTGTGTTCCTGCCCCAAAAAGGCACTTGTGTGCATATTGAAGAATGCATGAAATGGACCCTCTGGAGTTCTACTGATGAGCAGTATTGAAGGAGGCAGAATTCTGGTAGTGTTTAAGAACACATCTGAAATATGACCCAGATTGTGGTGGTGGATCTTGTTTGAGCCACAAAATCTAGAAGAAGAGGGGACCAAAATCAGAAAAGACACCTGAAGTCTTAATTTTTCTGCATAACTTTGTTTTGATGTTTCGGTTTTGTGCACAGCTTGAACATATAGTGCTGATTTTTTTTTTTTGCCTTTGTCAGTCAGTAATTACACAGACAAAAAAAAATTTAAGTTCTTTTTTTGTCTCATTCATAATCCTTTCTTGGTTTTTAGGCCGTTGAAAATCTCTGTTCCTACAAAGTCTCTGCTACACTGTACAAACAGCTGCGACAAGTCTGTGAAGAGCACGTGAAAGCACAAATCCTTCAGTTTAGAGAATATCCTTTTGTCATGCACAGAAGTGGTTAGAATGGTTAGTTTAAATCATTATTTTTTAAAACAAGACTTTGAAAAAATTGCACCAGTCAATGTGTTAAAGCGGTTCTTTGACTGTTTACATATTTTTAAATCAGTCAAAGGCAACTTTAGTTATCTGGGTGAACAGTTTTTGTGTATTGACATGTAGCATGCTAATAAGAATGTATTTATCATTTTAACAGGGATGCAAATTTTACACTAAATCTAGAAAATGTCAATACCACTGTGAGATTTCTCAGCGGGTATGAATTTCTGTGGCAGGTGAATAGTTGTGATGCTTACAGAAGCAATACCTTAAATCACAGTGATTGTCAACAGCAGTAAAAGAATTTTCAAACATAGTGCACCTGTTTGACCAAAAATAACTACTGGTCAGGAGTGATATATAACAGAGGCATTCAACAAGCCTTCAAGTATCTTATGTGTACCATGGGAGG